ACACGCGCAGGTACACACCCAACCCATGACCTGTCCTACACACCGCGTAATTAGGGAAACAGTCCTTTCGTTTAACAGCCAAAAGAGCAAACGGTAGGTATACTATATTCCCCTAATAATATGGGTTAAAGAGCTATTATACGTCTCATTAAAATATATGATCTCCCAATCTGGTGGCGGTTTGAGGTAATGGGGACAGAGTGGGTTCGAGGCTGAGATACCATCTGCAGGCTATAGGCTAGTGTCCAATCCACATCTACATAATTCTGTATTTTGCAGAATGACTGCACGGATAAAAAGATGGCTGTGTCAAAGCCTCTTAAATGGCACACCGGGACCGATTTCACAAGATCACTAGACTGAAAGTGTATGTGTGTGTGTTTGGGTCCTTTCAAGTAGCATGTGCTAATGAATTGGGGTTATTAAGCATTTGACATCATTTTCCACATAAATTGGTTAACATGCTAGCCTTTAACTGAACTCTAAAGTAAGCAGGGGACTTGCATGAAGATTTAATGAAGCCAAATGATGGAACACCTGTTGGAAACATTTACTTACATGTTCAGATTTTCTAACTTTTCTGCCTTTGTGGTTTCTTAGTTTAATGACTTCAAACTGAATGTGCAAACGGTTCAGCGGATTTGGTCATAATTTTGCTCTGAGACATGAAATACTATTTATAAACCATTTAATTTTGTGGTAAGTCGTTTCCCTTAAAGAGACAATGTGTAGTTTTTACTGTTAATTTCTGGAAATTTCCATCGAAGCATTGTTGAAAATGAATTAAATGTTGTCCAGTTGTTGAAAAATATTGGCAGCTTCGTGGCATATAACCATAAAAATTTGGGTCTTTGGAGGATAAAAAAAATTAGACACCATTTTTCCTTCTGGCTGGCTCGGGGTCCTGCGCCTACTGATGACATCACACTAGACGATGACTGGACGTACAACTTACAGACGTTACGTAACCACGTTCAAAATCATTTAGGTAATAAAAAACACAAATTCATTAACAAAACTGCTAAACTCCTTCCAAAACCTATGCGAAAGAACAGAACTGAAAAAGAGATGCAATATATTTTGGCAGAGCAGTACTGCCGTAGTGTGAAGATGTCATCGGCAGGCGCAGGACCGCGAGCAGATCCGGAAACTACAGCGCCAGAACTACAATTGGCATTGCATTCTCTCGATAGGATTAACTGAAGGAAGAGTCACGCCAAGGTTGCATGTTTTCTGCTCCACTGGTAACATTATTTACTGTAATGTTTTTTAAACTAGTGACAGTAACGGTGATATGTACAGCCCCCTAGCACCGGAAAACTACTAACTTAATTAAAAAACAACATTCTTAGGACCAAGCTGTTATTTTCTCGTACAGGACCAAAAATGTTAGATAATTAGTGCAATCGAAAAATGTTGCTCTAACTTGCAAATGAAGTAGGAATTGTTTGGGTATAGTACAAATGTACTTGCTCCCATTTGCAGTGTTCATGTATTTTATTCAGTTACATCCAATCAGCCATTACTCTACCATATGGATCATTTCCCTTCTGTTGAGATACCTATAACTTAGGTAGCTAAACCCTAGCATACATGAGTAAATGACAAAAACGAGACAACCAATAAAACCAGGAGCAGGCACTCTTGATGTATAGATAGTATAAAGTTAAAAATAATATACAAAGTAGTAAACTGGCAATTATTTTTACGCGGTTTGCCATATGCCATTTAGAGTGACTGTGGACTCTTTAGTGAGGAGCCAGCTGACTGTAGAGTCCACACAATCTGACTGTTGGCAGTCAGTTCATCTTATTATAGCTGGGCTCACCATGTTAGCTGAAAGACCCCTGGGCAAACAAACAGCATTTCTAGGCTCTAATAGCCTAAACAAGAAACACAACTAACAAAAGAGTCATCCACTCTCCTCAGTCTCACCACCTTTCATATCAAACTTTTCCTTTTTCAACCACTAGCATCGTCTGTCTACCATTAACCAAAGAGCCAAACACTCCTTTTAAGCAGTGACTACTTTGTTAACTGATGACCACAGGGCCGGTTATTGATCCACTTCTTCCACTCTCTCAGTAAACCTTGCTGATAAAACCCTCTCTCCTCTCTCAGGGCTCGGCAGAATGCGGCCACAGTGCGCTACAATCGTAGCTTGCATATAGCAGCCACATGAATCAGATCTCAGTGGTTTCGATTAGGGCTAAGATAACTCAAACACACTGCCGATCTAGGACGTGGATCTATTTATGAACGAGGAGTGTAGGTGGTAGTGTTCTTCACTTCTCCCCCTTCATTCTCTTTAAAAGGTTTTCTCATTTCAGTTGACTTAGTGGTTCAAGTGAAAACTTTGCAGTTGTGCTGACCTCTGAGACGCCCTACGGGGAATCAGGAGACCCCTGGTGATCTGCTGTTTAGCATCAGCAGTGGTCCAACTCCTCCATTTTAGCTGTGCTGGGAGGAAGGGAGGAAGAGGATGGAGCAAGCTGATTCTGCTTCTTCAAACATCTGTGACTGTGCCACTGGCTCGTGTTGCAACCCAGAAAAAAGATGAGCCATCAGCGCCACTTTATGTTTATGTTTATTAATTTAGGAGACACTTTTATCCAAAGCGACTTACAATTTATAACCTGTAGGGCATGTTGTGATCTGTGGGGGAAACCGGAGTACCCGGAGGAAACCCACGCATGCATGGGGAGAACACGCAACTCCGCGCAGAAAGGCCGCAGCCGAGTTTCGAACCTGCAACCTTCGTGCTGCGAGGCAACAGTGCTAACCACTGCGCCACCATGCAGCCTGATAAGTGAGCCTTTAACTCACTTCTTGTACTTGTGAAGATAACAAAATAACCACCCACAAAGTTGGCATCTGCAAAGGAAACTGTGCGAATCACCCGTTTTTACAAACTAAATCAACATTTGGTTTGAAGGAAAACGCTGCTTCAGCTCTTGCTGGGTAGGTTCGCGGCCGAGTGTGAAGCGGCTGGGATGAGGATCAGCACCTCCACATCTGAGACCATGGTTCTCGACCGGAAAAGGGTGGCTTGTCAACTCCGGGTCGGGGGAGAGGTCCTACCTCAAGTGGAGGAGTTTAAGTATCTTGGGGTCTTGTTCACGAGTGAGGGTAGGAAGGATCGGGAGATCGACAGGCGGATTGGTTCGGCGTCTGCAGTGATGCGGACGCTGAGCCGATCTGTCGTGGTGAAGAGGGAGCTGAGCCAGAAAGCCAGGCTCTCGATTTACCGGTCGATCTACGTCCCAATCCTCACCTATGGTCATGAGCTTTGGGTAATGACCGAAAGAACGAGATCCCGGATACAAGCGGCCGAAATGAGTTTCCTCCGTAGGGTGGCCGGGCTCAGCCTTAGAGATAGGGTGAGGAGCTCGGACATTCGGGAGGGACTCGGAGCAGAACCGCTGCTCCTCCGGATCGAAAGGAGTCAGTTAAGGTGGTTTGGGCATCTGGTCAGGATGCCTGCTGGACGCCTCCCTGGGGAGGTGCTTCGGGCAGGATGCCCCCGGGTCGACCCAGGACACGTTGGAGAGGTTACATCTCCAATCTGGTCCGGGAACGCCTTGGGGTCCTGCCGGAGGAGCTGGTGGAGGTGGCCGGGGAGAGGACGGTCTGGAGCTCCCTAGTTGGGATGCTGCCCCCACGACCCAGACCCGGATAAGCGGAGGAAGACAACGACAATGGAAAACGCTGCTTAAAAAAAACGGTTTGACCAGGAACTTGACTGTTGCACCAAGAATAAAATCTACTCATGACTTTAGTAGCGCTTCCACACAAAGTACAGAAAAGGTTTTTAAAAGTCAGAGAGCTGGAGAAAGATTAAAATATTGGAGACGACAAAACTGAAGTAGGTAAAAGAGACAAAAGAAGAAAGAAACCTTTGTAGACCCCCCTCAAAAAGATCCTGATAATTTTATTGTGAATGATCAAGAAGCTGGAAGCGGACAAATACAAAAAAAAAGATTGAAAAAGAGAGAATGAGGGAATCAATTCTTGCTAGAACAGGGGGACTAAAGCAAAAGTGCAGAGCTAATTAGTTTCTGATAGCTGGACTTTCATTTGGCTGAAAGGTCAGTTAACTTTAAAGGTCAGGCTGACGCGTTGTCCATGAAAACACAAAAAATTACACAAAAAGAGAAACCCAGACCAGAAACACACACTAAAAACAAATTACAGTTCTACACGTGTCTGTCTGCACACACACACACACACACACACACACACACACACACACACACACACACACACACACACACACACACACACACACACACACACACACACACACACACACACACACACAGCCTGCTGATAACTGCACATTTGATCTTCTCATATAATGTTCTGGTCAGTGAGTTGTCTCAGGTCATTATTCTAGCTAAGAACTTTCATTATAGTCAGTATATCCACAGCAAATTACTCGACTTTATTCAAATATGCATCACGATGGTGTGTGTGTGTGTGTGTGTTACCAGCGCGGTTGGCGGTAGAGGAGTCCTGTTGGATTTATTGCCTGCGATGCTAAGCGCATTCCCTCGTCTTCTGGCTGCATTGTTATTTAGATCACAGCCGTCTTAATAAAAACTAATCAACATGATCAGCACCTCTGAGTTCTTGGTGAGCGCATGTAAATAAAAAGTAAAAGGAGGTTTGCTGTGTTCCAGATCAGGGTTGTTATGCTTAACTTTGATTAGGAGAGTATGTAGCGTAACATTTAATTGAAACATGGCAGGTGCTTTGTCTCTTTGTTCTTAATAATAATAATAATATGTTAACTTGTATAAAACAGTGGAGTTTTTATATGAATGAATTCTACTGCAGATGCTTATTTGTTTAACTGATAAAACCTGATTTCATTCGTTTTGATGTGATAAAGCTCAATTAAACCCTGTGTTGGATTACTAACATTGATGATCTTACTTTATGAGCTGAATTTCATTGAACTTTCTGCATGACTGAATGGTGGATTTCTTATCACTCACCATCTTCAAGTTTCCTGCGGGCCTCCTCCTCTCTTTTGGCTACTTTGGCTTTCAGGACCTCATCTGTCTTTGCTGAAAAGACAAACAGAGGAATGCAAAATTAGGATCAAAGCAAATCTATCGTGTCATTATTGTTCCAATATTTAAAGTGAATTAACAGAAGCACTGGATTATTTATATTCTAGTTTTAGATCATTTTTAAGCAACATAGATAAACTGCTAAAATGTGAATAAATGTATCATTTATAAATTGAATTTGGAAAAAAAATAAGACAAAATTTTGAAGCTTTTATGCTAAATTTGCAGTTTTAGAAAAAAGGAGGAAGACGCCAGAAAATGCTCAATGGATTCATCATTACATAAACAGTGAGCACTAAAATCTACTAAAACATACACAAAGCCTTCACCGTCTCTCCCCACCAGGCAGCACCCCCTCGCTGCTTTTCATTTATACCCCTGTAAAGTCAGCATTTCTTCCTGAGAAGTGTTTATCATCTCTCTGTAATGAAAAGCTTAAGAGAAAGTGAGGCAGCGGGAGTAAACACTCGTCAGGGCGTTTTAAGTGCGTCTCGTCATGAAACGTGTCGTCTCAGCTCACTCCCCCCCCCCCCCCCCCCATCCACCCACCCCCCCACTCCCTCTCAAATAATCAAGATGTTAAGCCACATTAAAAAATATAATGCTGTGTATGGCAGGACTATCAATACTGCCTCTAAATTAATTACATTTCCGTTGCGGCGCATCATTTATTTTGTAGTGTTAGGGCCTCGACGGAGCCATTCGCCTTTATTGCTATCTCACTTGGTTGATGAGTGAGCTATGTAAAATTGAGTCTCCAATATCATTACACTTAATGAGTTTAAACTTTGAGGGGGGCATAAGGAGGGAGAGAAACTAAAGGGAATGAGAGGATGAGAGAATGAGAGCACCACACTGTTGTGGTTAAAGCAATCTGAGAGTGGGTGTTTGAGAGTGCTTGCAGCCTGTTTGTATTGCTGCATAATTGTAGGTGTCCAAAAGGGGTTTATTACACCATTCAGGATGCCTGAGTGCACATGTGTGTTCTGGGCACACTCCTCATTTGGTGTTGGAGTTTGTGTTGCATGTAAATATAAATGTGTGTGTGTGTATGTGTTTTGATTCAGGAGGCCAGGAGGTTGTGCGAGTGGCTGCGCCGCTGGTTAGGGTAATTGGTGTAGACAAAGAAGTCGTCACACTGCTGTTACGGCAGGTTAAGTCTGGAGGTTCCGCATCTTTATCAACAATGACTCTACATGGATGACTGAATCCTTCCCACCCTCCCTCAGCAATGAGGGGAGTTCATGTGTGACGGGGGAACAAGCCACCTATTAGGGACAAATGTCATAATTTAACAAGTTAGTGTTGGTGCTCAAGCCTGTTTCTGTCTTTTCCACAGCAATTGTGATTTTTACCTTTCTTTCTTTGTACGCTCACTTGGACGTTTGTGAGCATCTGCATGCATTTGTGTGTGTGTGAATGAACTCCCTGTCTTCGGTTCAGTCTTTGCTTGGGGCTACCGTGAGACAGGTAGGTTGGAGGTGTGATGGAGCAGAGTGAGGGAAGGCAGGAAAACAGACACATGGATGTGGGCCATACAGGATAAAGGAAGAGCAAAGACAGCCGGGGAAACAGACAAACAAGCAGCTAATAAATAAATAAATAAATGTAAAAATAAATAAATAAATCATTGACTGTGTGCAAAAAAAAATGCACACAAACAACAGGGGCGATTTGTAGCCTTTTTTCCTTTGCAAGTGTATCCTCCACCTCTACCCTTCATCCCTCCTCCAACAGGTTCTCTCATCCTCGCGCTTGCCTCTACCCATTTTTGAATGCTTTCTCTTCCTTCTCTTGCTCATCTCTCCAGTACTCTGTGCCTGGAGGCGATAGCAGCAAATCAAACTGTTTATCCATCTCTCATCAGTGCGCTGCCTCACGGGGCTCCTGCCCCCTCAAAACAATGAAAGTAAAGCCTGAGCGCTGCTGAGCCAGAGATGTGATTTAATTACATCAATAAAGAGCTCTGCTTTAACTAAAAAAATTAGGCAAGCTAGTTACTTGTGCTATCATGAAAAGCTTGTTAGGATTATGGTTCTAAAAACACATGAAAATAACCATCAGCCGTTTATTGGAAGTATATTTCTTAGCTGCTGAGTGGCTTCAGTTCATTGTAGGATAATTCTGTGATGGACTTTTATTAAAGCGGGTAATAAACGGCCGGGTGTTAGTGAGAGGAGAGGCCTTTCACTTCATTTAGACTTCGTTCGGTCTTGGCTGCAGGGGCGGAGAGAGAGAGAGGAGGGATGGCAGCGGGAAGAGGCGGGGAGCGTCAGTGAAATCACATTGTGATTATGAGTGTAATTGCAGCTCAGGGGCCCAGGGGCCATGTAGCTCTGATGGCGCTAGAAGATGTTTTACGCGCAGCAAAAGAGAGAAGGAAAGTGAGAATGAGAAAAAGAGGGCGAGTGGGAGGTAGAAGCAGGTTGCCAGGATGGCTCTTGGTCTTTTTTCTTTCTACTCTCAGAATCTCAACGCTTCTCCACATCCTTCTTCACCTCTTTCCACCACCTTCATTTCTCTCATCTTCTTTCCCATTTGCCTCTTTTCCCTCCTCTCTTCCTGTCCTCCTCCCTTGGCAGGATTAGCTGGGTCTCGTTAGAGGGGAAATGTAATAATGCTCCCACCAGGTGGAATCGGGCCCGCTCCATTATCAGCCGGGAGATGGATGGGCCGTGTAGGGCCGGCGGGGGCCAAGCGCGCACGCAATTTAGATTCAATAAACTGGCAAAGCAAGACCCCCAATCTGATTTATCTCTTACACGCTGCCAATGCTTGCTGCTACGAGGCTGATTCCCTATTACCGCTCAGAGAAGGACTATTCATTGGATGTAAGGTACAGCAGTCAGGAAAGCTTGTCGGGCCCCCGGGATGGCAGCAAAACAGATACAGAAGAGGGTTAATACGTTTACAAACAGATAAGCAATTAAATCTAAGGCTGAGGTGAGTTATGGAGTTATTAAGGAGGGATGTGGGCTGCTGGTGGTTATTTAACGCTAAGGTGCGGCAGGCTCAGGCCTCAGGCTTGGTACAGTATTAGAAGCGAGAAAGGGCGATCTTATTATAGGGCGAGATAAAAGAACACTGAAAGCATAGACGTCTGTCCACGTTATTCAATAAACTCACTGCAACTCGCTGAGGACAATTCAGCACTTACAAATTTATGAGCTGCTCTATAAGCACGTGTTTGAATCGAAGCGTGTTGGTTTCCGCAGGATGCCTGGCCGTGGCTGCCCAAAACATCACATCCGAACACGCGTTTAATCACATGTGCCAAAGCCAGTGATGGGTGTCTGTCTGTCCAGCTGCCAATCAAAGTAAATCTGGACGTCAGTAGGAGGCGTGATAAATCAGATCCTGCCCCCACAAAGACAAACAGAATATTAGAGGCAGAGCAGCACCACTGGAAAAATGTCCCCTCCAATCAGCGGAGCACTTTACAGTAAAGCTCGGCTGATTGGAGGGGGCGCCGACTGTTACGGAATATCAGAACACAAGTAAATAAATAAGGAGACAAAATGGAAGTCAAGGAAGGAGACAGATGGACAGTAAGAAACATCTCTGATGAAGAGAATGACAACAAAAAGTACCTTAAAGAGAAGTTTCAGTTTATAATGAAAGAAAACTAAAAGTGAAAATCTACATCTAGTCTAAAATATAGGAATAAACTATCATCAAAAAATAGTTTAACACCTGTGTGTAAGTTGTGTGTGTGTGTGTTTGTAGGCTTCCTTCGTGAACCTCTACAGCAAAACAACTGCAGCTGTTGAGGTTAGATTAGTAAAAGGAAGCAGTGATACCCTCAAACAACCACTGGGTGGTGCAGTACGCAGCACTGGAGGCAGCAGCCAGGTGTATGCTGTCTGGTTTAAAATAAGGTGTCAGTGGGAGTGTGTATGGCTCCATCAAAAATTAAATACCATAATTTAATTTGGGATGTTCAAAAAGAAGAAAATAAATTAAACATTATAAACAAGAATTTGCAAAGGTGAGACATGAAATTCAGCAGCTGATACGGATATTTTGCTAGTTTTGTGTAGTCTGAAAAAAATGTAAATGTTATTAATTCACCACACTGTGATTCTTCCAAGAGAATCTTTCAGACAGTAGACATGAATGAGCTACACCAGTCTTTCCTTTTCTTCAGTCATCACGCAGAATCTAATGACAGCCATGAAATATTCACAAACTAAACAATTAGAGAGAGATATCTTACAAAATCGATCAATTATTCATTTGAAATGGTCTGAAAAGCTTTTTTTTTACAACTGTATTGTGATGCTGGAGGGAGCATCAATTAGGTCCTTTACTGTTTAGATGTAATGGATGCTTCAGAGTCTAATTAACGTCTAAATGAAGGAGCCAGACGTACGTGCGAGGACTGCCTCTGAGTGGGTGACATGCTGATCTCTCCACGTAAAGTCAGAGGGACACTTTAGATTTGTTCATTCTAATGTGCAAAGAATTATTCTGCTCCTACTTAGAAATTCTGTCTGAAACCAGATCCCAAATGATAGGACTTGGCTCATGCAACATTTGTTTTGTTTAATTTCAAAGCAGCTTCTGTACTCCAGACTCTTGGGCTACAAATTTGTACTTTCCTTTCAGTGACCCCCCCCCCCCCCCCCCCCTTAGACCGCTTCAAACAAAAAGGAGAAAGAGAAAAAAAACCTTCACTTTATAAATTAGTTTAATAAAAGCAAAGGTAACAATTTGAGTCCATTTATTAATGTTACTTAGTGCATTAAGCATTGAAAAACTATTAAGTATAAACAACTGCTTAACCATATTACATAATACATCACTAAGCAGACACCCCCACTGACCCTTTGTTTATTAAAGAGACAATGTGTAGTTTTTAACATTACTCTCTGGAAATATCCATCAAAATATTGTTGAAAATTAATTAAATGATGCCTATTTGTTTGTACAACCATTAAAATTGGGTCTAATATCATCAGGAAAAGGCTTGAGTCTTTGGGCAACACCATATT